AGACATGAGACAGATCACCAAATTCCGGGCTTCACTAGAATCCAGCATCTGAGGACGAACATTCAACTGGAGAAGTGATGGGAAGTGATAGATTAAGGAATCTGGGAAACTGGCCTTCTTGTTGTGGAAGAACATGATCATCTCCTGAAAGCAAAAGAAGAAAGTGTGTGTGACATTTGGAAGCAGTTGTTCCTCAACATGTAACCTGTAGTATTCGTAGGAGTGAAGTACATAAGAAGCTCCACAATCAGCACCTTTCTGTCTGGGTCACATTGTTGGTAGCTCAAATCCCTTCCCAGAGGCCTGGGTGCATCAGCAAGGCTGACAATCCACTACAAGCTTGAGGGACAACTGTACTGTCAACCATCAAATTTGCAGCCTTTCTAAACCGTAATACCCACAATCAGCAACGTGATAATGACTAGGCAATCAGTTTCATTAATATTAAAATACTGTAGATACTGGAAATCTGAAATGAGAAGGTGCTGGAGAAACTCGGCAGGTCTGAAGAAGTCAGTTCTGAAGAAAGGTCGCCAGACCCGAAATGTTAACTCTGATTTTTTCCTTCATAGATGCTGCCAGACCTGCTGAGCTTTTCCAGCAACTTCTGTTGTTGAGGCCAGTTCATTTGATGGTTGTCATGGGGAAGGTGTTAGAATCAATCATTGAAGAGATTATAGCTGTGCACTTAGAGTAGGTCAAGGTAATTGCAAAGACTCAGCATAATTTTGTAAACCTTTTTTTTGGAGTTCTTTGAAGGGGTAACTTGTGCTATAGATAAAGAGGAATCAGTCAATATGTTGTACTTAGATTTCCACAAGCAATTTGATAAGGTGTTACATCAAAGGTTATTGTAGAAAATAAAAATTCATGGAGCGGGGGTAACATATTGGCATGGATAGAAGATTGGCTGGCTGATAGGAAGAAACGAATTGACAAAAAAAATCAAAGCTTTTTTTTCTGGTTGACATGATGTAATAGCTAATATGCTGCAGGGATCAGTGCAGCCATTTCACCATCAATATAAATTGCTTGAATGCAGGGATTTCAAATTATGGCTGTTAAATTTGGTAGGGTAGGAAAGTAAGTTGTAAACCCGGTATAAGAAGACGAGAAAATCATAGAATCACCACAGCACAGATGTAGCCATTCGGCCCATCGAGTGCACACTGACCCTCCAAAGAGCATCCCACCCAGACCCCACCCTCCTACTATATCCCTGTAACCCTGCATTTCCCATGGCTAACCCACTTAGCCGACACAGCCCTGAGCACTACGGGCAATTTAGCATGGCCAATCCACCTAACCTGCACATCTTTGGACTGTGGGAGGAAACCGGAGCACCCGGAGGAACCCCATGCAGACACGGAGAGAATGTGCAAACCCCACACAGCTGTGCGGGACAAAATGTCATGAAAGAGCAAAGATCCAGCAAATGGGAGTATGATATGGGAAAATGTGAAAATGTTTTGAGCTCCAGAGCCTCCCCTCTCCCTAACCTGTCAATTCTGTGTGCCTGCACCTCCCTGATTTCAGATGGGTTGGGCCCTAGGCTCTGATATCCCCTCACTAAACCCCTCCACCTCTTTCTCTCTCGAAACTGCTGCTGAAGGCCTGCACCAAATGGTTAGTCACCTTCACTCTTTCATTAGTCCAGAGTCAAATTCTCTCTGATGACTCTCTTATGAAGTGCCACACTTTGTTTAACTACTTTAAAGGGGTTATAAATGTGAGCATACCTTTGCATCTTTTTGTTTTTAATATCATTTACGCAGGCACGGTTTAAATTAATCCCTGGTACAATCTTTGAACGATAAAAACTGAACACAGGGAAAAGAAATAGCACTCTCAGATTTGAAAACAGAGGAGTCTGGGTCCATGAATCACAAAAAGTAGCATTCAGTGTTAAGTAGGTAATTGAGAAGGGAAATGGCCTGTTGACCTTTATTTCAAATGCAATGGAATATAAAATTATGCAGATCCCTGATTCACAAGTGTCCAACTTACAAACATTTGTACTTATGAAGGCAATCACATGCAGGAGAGTAATAATAATATTAAGGATCTGACATATGAGCCTTTCATAAGTGCAAAGAAATGATATTTTATATTCACGAACAAAAACAGAAGTTGCTGGAAAAGCCCAGCAGATCTGGCAGCATCTGCGAAGAAAAAAATAGAGTTAACGTTTCGGGTCCAGTGACCCTTCCTCAGAACTGTTCTGAGGAAAGATCACTGGACCCGAAACGTTAACTCCGTTTTTTTCTTCACAGATGCCGCCAGACCTGCTGAGCTTTTCCAGCAACTTCTGTTTTTGTTCCTGATTTACAGCATCCGCAGTTCTTTCGGTTTTTATTTGATATTTTATATTGTCCTGCATTGTGTTCCAACTTTCCTGTGAATCAATTTGCAAACAGGCTCAAGGACAAAACCCATTCGCAACCCAGGGACTGCCTGGGCAGCTTTTGCTAAAACCGTACAAGGCACAGCTGGAATACTGTGAGCAGCCTTGGGCCCTTCATCTAATGAAAGATATACTGGTGTTGGATGCAGTCCCGAGAAGGTTCACTAGGCTGCGGGTCTGTCTTATGAGAAGACACTGATTAGGGCCTGTACTTATTGGAATACAGAAGAATGAAAGGTGACATTACTGAAAAATACACAATACTTAGCAGACTTGACAGGGTAGATGTGGAAAGATTGTTTCTCCTTGTGGGAGAGCCCAGACCAAAGGGCATCATCTCACAATAAGGTGTAGCCAATTTCTGATTGAAATGAGGAGGTACTTCCTCTCCCACACGGTTGTGAATCCATGGGTTTCTTTAGAACAGAAGGCTCCTGAGGCTTGTTGTTAATTACATTCAAGGCTAAGACAGACTGATTTGTAATCAGTGAGGGAATCAAGGATTCTGGGGAAAAGGCTGGAAAAGTGGAGTTGATGATCATCAGATCAGCCATGATATCATTGAATAGTAGAGCAGAATCAATGGGCTGAATGGCCTACTTTTGCAAAAATAAAACTGAAAGAACTGCAAATGCTGTAAATTAGGAACAAAAACAGGAATTGCTGGAAAAGCTCAGCAGATCTGGCAGCATCTGTGAAGAAAATTCAGAGTTAACGTGTTGAGTCCTGTTCTGAGGAAGGGTCACTGGACCCAAAACGTTAACTCTGATTTTTCTTCATGGATCCTGCCAGAGCTCTTCCAGCAATTTCTGTTTTTGGGCCTACTTTTGCTCCTGTGTCTTATGGATTTTACCTTACACTAGATAACAATGAAACAACAGCCCAATTCTCAGGGACAAACAGAAAACATAGACTGGCAACAAGAGACCTTCACCAAGAACTGGGCTCACAGCCCAAGAGCCTGCTCACCAATCTCCTCACCTCCACCCTCACCTACCTGATTCTTCTGCGGAGTACGTCTCTCTCCATAACAGCCTGTGCTTCAGGTCATCCTTCGGGCCGTACATATAGACATTTAGCCCCCATCTCTGCATCCTGGGACAAGACAAAGACAAAAGTTTATAACTGATACGTCTGCTGCAACTGCAAGGGAGGGTCACGATTGGTGGTCAGGGCCCTAGGTGTTTCAGTCAAATTCTTGGAGTCTCATCCCAGAGATTTAAGATCAAACCTTGGCCAGTCACAAGTGCGGTGTGTTTCTGTCTATGGAAATAAGCGAAGAGAGAGAAACTTTCTTTATTCGTTCTCGGGGTGTGGACAGCACTAGCTCGGCTAACAGATGTTGCCCATTCCTAAATGCCTTTTAACTGAGTGGCTTGCCAGGTCAATTCAGAGGGCACTTAGGAGTCAACCACATTGCTGTGTTGCCAAGAGATAGTGCAGTGATGGTAATGTCACTGGCCTGGTAATCGAGAGACCCAGGCTAATGCTTTCTTTTATTTTCTTCTATATTCATTAACGGGATGAGGGCATTGCTGGCTGTGCAGATTTGTTCCCCAGAGGGCAGTTCAGAGTCACCTGCATTGCTGTGGGTCTGAAGTCACATGTAGTCCAGACCAAGTAAGGATGGCAGTTTCCTTCCCTAAAGGACATTAGTGAATCAGATGGGTTTTTCCCCCTGACAATCAGTAATGGATTCATGGTCATCACTAGATTCTTAATTCCAGATATTTTAATTGAATTCAAATTCCATCATCTGCCATCACGGGATTTGAACCCAGGTCCCCAGAACGTTATCTGGGTCTCTGGATAACAGTCTAGTGATAATACCACTAGGCCATCGCCTCCCCACATTTTCGGGGTCATGGGTTCAAATTTCATCAGAGAAATTTGTGCAAATTAAATTAATTGACGGCTAAAAAATCTTAAATGCCTAACGAGTTCACTAATGTCCTTTAGGGAAGGAAATCTGCCATCTGTATCAGCTCTGGCCTACATGTGACCCACAGCAATGCAGGTGACTCTGAACTGCCCTCTGGGGAACAAATCTGCACAGCCAGCAATGCCCTCATCCCGATAATGAATATAGAAAAAAATAAAAGAAAGCATTAGCCTGGGTCTCTCGATTACCAGGCCAGTGACATTACCATCACTGCACTATCTCTTGGCAACACTGAAGGAGAAATTGAAGGTAAAAATAGAAAAGGATGAAGAAAACTCAGCTGGGACACGGGCTGAGGGAGGACTGAAGAGAGGCAGAGATAATACCAATGGCACTTTCTGTGGCAGTGCTGAGAGAGCACGACACTGTCAGTGGTGCTGTCTTTCTGAAGAAACATAAAGCTGAGGTCCCATCTGATCTGCCGAGTAGCTGGGTGGGATGGTCCTTGGAGGGGCAGCATGGACTCAATGGGCCAAATGGCCTCTTTCCACACTGCAGGGATTCAATTGCACTATTCCAAAGAAATCCTGACAAATTGCGGAATCTTGTTGTGAGTAAATTGCCTGCTCTGTTTCCAACATTACAAATGTGACTATGATTTATCAAGACAAGTTTATGCTAAATATTTCAATCTACCTTAGGTTGTATACTACCCTCTAGTATGGCTCCTTATGGAATACTTTTAGGCAATCAAAGTATTCAACATCTACTGGCTCCCCTTTATCTACTTACTAATTGCATCCTCAAAAAACCTTAATAAATTTGTCAAATCCCTCTAGCTTGTTGTAATCATATGGTGCCTTTCTAACCGCACTTTAAGAATTCGCATTCCAGCACTTTCTTGATGACTGGTGTCAGGATAACTGGACCGTCTCCCTCTCCATCCTTTCTCTTAAAGCACATGTTGCATTTTCTAATTTCCAATCTGCTAGGATCATTCCAGAATTTTGGAAAATCAGAGCCAGTGCTCCACTATTGCACACTTATTAATGCATGCTTAAGATAACCATAATCTCCACTCAAGAACAAGTGAATTAACAACCCATTTCCTACATAATCCCAGTGCACAGGACTCGAATTCACTATCTGAAACAATCTATCGCCAACATAAGAAAACCAATATTCGCTCTCTGACTCTAAAGGACCCGAATTTATCTCATTCACATTTGGTTGTTTAAAATAACTTCTGTCATACAGAATTCCAGTGAACCTAATCCCTCATGTTCACTCCCATTAATAAAGAGCTTCCAGAATGTTCTGGAATTATTTGCCTTTAAATTTCAGTTAATGGCCAGTATCGGATTTTGCTTCGAAGCTGCAGTGCATTAGCCTATCAGAAAAAGTTCTGCACAAGAAAAGGTTTACCTATCACCCTTCTCGGCTTAAGTCAACGAACAATCAATTCTCCAAACATATAAATACGACTGCAAGAGTCTGGTTTAAGAAGGCAGCTCACCACTGCTTTCTCAAGGGCAGCTAGGAACGGGCAATAAATACAGGCCTAGCTAGCGGTAGCCATGTCCCATGAATGCATTTTAAAAAATAAAACAGTGGCTGCAAGCGCTTTGAGCAGAATAGTCATCTATAAATACAAGTCTCTCTTTCACATTCTGCCTTGTGGATCTTGCTGTGTATGTGACAGGACCCACAGTTGTCAACACAACAGCGGGTCCTACATTTCACAGCAATTCACCACACAGCAACAAGGTGCAACTGAGTGAGTTTCCTCAGCACGGTTTCCTTTAACTCACTCGAGGTATCAAATGAGGGGATGTGTTCCAGTTCAGAGCCTGTAGCAAAAGTCCACTGGTAATCACGCAGTGGGACCCACTCCACTTCCCAGCAGCAACTGACTGCACCATCGCTCACATCATTTAAAGGCTCCTGCCTCCCTTGGGTCTTTCGGGCTACACTAACACAGTCTTGTAATCGGAGAATAACTTTGATCCAACACTAGGGTAAAAGCAAGGTTATGGCTAGGGATTAACAAATCCTAAGGAGTGTAATGTCAGCAGGCGCGCAGTATCACAGCAGTCTATATTCCATCTACGTTACCACTTGAACAGCACCATTCTCTGCTCCATGGACCATGGCCTGCCATAGAAACCTACAGAGAGACAGAGACAAGAAGCCATCAGGAACCATCCGAGGGTCACACTTCCCAGTGATAACAAGGATTTAGAGGCACAGCTAGTCTAGTACTTATGGTACTGGGCAGGCCCCACATAGTGAGCTTAAATCTCAAAACAGAAACTTGTGAAAATGTATTCAATTAACCTGCATTTAAGGGAAAGCAAAATAAATACAGCTGTTAAGGACAAGAATGCAGAATATGCCAATTGGGATATTTGGAGTAGCAGGGAGGAAAATGAGCTGATCCAGTGAAAGAGGCTGGTGTTGTATGTTTATTAGTTTTCATGGAAGGATATCGGATAAATAGCAGACAAACAGGCTGTGTGGATCTCACTTCTCTGGTTGAGCCTCCTCCCATTTTTTTTCCTCAACTAAATCGATCATCATAACTGATTTTATTGCCTTCTCCCACTAATGCTTGTCTAAATTCCCTTCAAATACATGAATACTATCAAAATCCTGGGTTTTACCATCAACCAGAAACTGAACTGGACTCACGGGGAGGCGATGGCCTAGTGGTATTATCCCTGGACTGTTAATCCAGAGACCCAGAAAATGTTCTGGGGACCTGGGTCCGAATCCCGCCATGACAGATGGTGGGATTTGAATTCAATAAGTTAAGTATCTAATGATGACCATGAATCCATTGTAGATTGCCACTTGTTGGAAAAACCCATCTGGTTCACTAATGTCCGTTAGGGAAGGGAACTGCCATCCTTACCTGGTCTGGCCTACATGTGACTCCAGACCCATAGCAATGTGGTTGACTCTCAATTGCCCTCTGGGTAATTAGGGATGGGCAATAAATGCTGCCTGGCCAGTAATGCCTTCATCCCATGAATGAATAAAGTAAAAAAAACATGCAAATACAATGGTTACAACAGCAGGTCAGAAGCTAGGAATACTGCAGTGAGTAACTCCCCTCCTGACTCCTCAAAGCCTGTTCACCATCCACAAGGCACAAGTCAGGAGCATGATGGACTTGCCTGGATGAGGGCAGCTCCATCAACACTCAAGAAGCTTGATACCACGTTTGTCTTACGCGCTATCTACCATCTTCAATATTTGCTCCCTCCACCAGCAAAGTGGCAGCAGTATGTACCATTTATAAGATTCATTTCAGTAACTCACTGTTTCTTTAGATAGCACCCTCCAAACTCATGACCACTTCCATCTAGAAGGACAAGGGCAGTAGATACATGGGAACACCACCCCCTGCAAGTTCCTCATCAACCTGACTTGGAAATATATTGATGCTCCTTTAGTATCACTGAGTTCTGAAACTCTCTCCCTAATGACATTGTGTCTACTTACTGGACTGCAGAGGTTCAAGGTTCAAGCTCATTACCACATTCTCAAGGGGCATTAGGGATGGGCAACAATTGCTGGGCCCAGCCAGTGATTCCAGTGGAAAAATAACGAGACAACTCTTCTTGAGGTCACAAGCTGTGGAGCTGGATGAACACAGCAGGCCAGGCAGCATCAGAGGAGCAGGAAAGCTGACGTTTCGGGTCTGGACCCAAATTCAGAAATGGGGGAGGGGAAGGGGGCTCTGAAATAAATAGGGAGAGGGGGAGGCGATGATAGAAGGTGGATACAGGAGCAGATAAGAGAGAAGATGGACAGGTCAAGGAGGCAGGGATGAAGCCAGTAAAGGTGAGTGCAGATAGGAAGTGGGGGTGGGGGTTGGTCAGTGAGGTGGGACGAGCGGATAGTGGGAGAGAAGACGGACAAGTCAAGGAGGAGGGGATGTGGGGGGGATTGGTCTTGGGATGAGGTCAGGGGTGGGGAGATTTTGAAGCTTGTAAAGTCCACATTGAGACCATTGGGCTGCAGGGTTCCAAGGCGGAATATGAGGTGCTGTTCATCCAGCCTTTGGGTGGCATCATTGTGGCACTGGAGGAGGCCCAGGATGGACATGTCGTCCAGGGAGTGGGAGGGGAGTTGAAGTGGTTCACGACTGGGAGGTGTTGTCGTTTGTCACGAACCAAGCGTAGGTACTCCACAAAGCTGTCTCCAAGACTCCGCTTGGTTTCCCCGATGTAGAGGAGGCCACATCGGGAATAGTGGATACAATATACCACATTAGCGGATGTGCAGGTGAACTTCTGTTTAATGTGGGCGATTTTCTTGGGACCTGGGATGGGGGTGAGGGGGGAGGTGTAGGGGCAGCTGTAGCACCTCCTGCGGTTGCAGGGAAAAGCGTCTCTTCGCCACCTATCTGCTCCTCTATCCAACTCCTATCATCGCCTCCCCCTCTCTCTATTTATTTCAGAGCCCCCTTCCCCTCCTCCATTTCTGAAGAAGGGTTCAGACCTGAAACATCAGCCTTCCTGCTCCTCTGATGCTGCCTGGCCCGCTGTGTTCCTCCAGCTCTACACCTTGTTATCTCAGACTCCAGCATCAGCAGTTCCTACTATCTCTTCTTGAGGTCGTCTGCTCTGACAGGTTAGGGATGTACCTGAGCCTCGGAAGATACAGGGAGTCCCAGAATCTGTTGCAATTCCAAACACATTTAGTTTGAGTGAATTTTAGAATCTTAGAATAAAGTCCATTCAGTCCCCAGCGTGCCTGTACTAGCTTTTCGACACAACTATCCAATTCGTCCCACTCCGCTCCAGCTTTTTACCCATTAACCTGCAAAATTTCACATTTCCAAGTATTTGTACAAATCCCTTTTGAATATGCTTCCACCACCTTTTCGGGCAGCAATGTCCAGATCACAAACAGTAAGCGCCTAAACGCACTGTCCACACCTTAACCCTTGTTCTTCTGTCAATAACTTTAGATTCATCTCCCCGGGTTACCAACATTCCAAACAATGAAATTACACACCTCTACAGTAGTTGGGGCTTGAACACAGGCTTCCTAGTGCAGAGGTAAGCACACTACCATTGTACCATAAAAGTTTAACCTAGGCTAAGTATTTTTAATTAACCTGTTCAGTGACGTTATGACGTCCGGCACAATTGGAACTTGAACTTGTGTCTCCTCGCTTACAGGTATGGACACAAAGACCTGCAGAATTTCACCAAGGCTCCTTGGGCAGCACCTTCCAAACCCATGAACACTTCCATCTAGAAGGACAAGGGCAGCAGCTATATGGGAACACCACCATCTTCAAGTTCCCCCTCCAAGTCACTCACCATCCAGACTTGGAAATATATTGCCGTTCCTTCACTGTCGCTGGGTCAAAATCCTGGAATTCCCTAATGGCATTGTGGATCAACTCACAGCAGTTGGATTGCAGTGGTTCAAGAAGCCAGCTCACCCCCACCTTCTCAAGGGCAACTAGGGATGGGCAATAAATGCTGAACTAGTTTGTGACCCCCAAGTCCTGTGAGTAAAACTAAACAAAAGTCTTTGGAAGGCCATTACTGGCCGGCAATAATGACTAGCCTTCCCAGCGACACTCGCACGAATGGATAGCATTTTATTCTTTTAAAATAGACGCCCGGCTCAATGTGACTATCTGGTTGCATTACCAAGCACTCTGTCTCTGCCTTGGCTTCTCACCAAAAACCCATCTGCTAAATCTTAAGCCAAAAATGGCTGGGAGGGAGGGGAGACGCTGGGTGGGAGGGGGTAAGGGCTTTCCCTCCCTCTGACCACAAGCGTGACGGTAGATTTTTACATCCCCGGAGGGACGGACACTCAGCCCATCCTGTCCTGCGACAGCTCCTTGGAAGAGTCGGGCAGAACCATTTCAGTCCCACCCTGCTCATCGACACGTCTGGCGAATTAATCATCTGGATTCTTTCGAAGGGTCGCTGTCCCCATGTGTAAACCCAGGGCCTGTCAGACGGGCTCAATCGGTTATCCAATTTGCCCTCCCACCAACTGCATGCCAAGTAAAGCAGCAACGCCAAGGGCACCCATCATCTTGCAGTACATTATGGTGTCTGACTCTCTCTCTCATTAAATTGAGGTTGCCAACTTTCACTGGATACATTTCTGGAGGGTTTTATCACATGATCACCGTCAAATTGCTGTATCAGGTCAAACACCCTTCCTCTGCCTTCAGCATTCTTGCAAATATTAAGCCATGAAAACATTAGAACAATTTTCTTAACCGTGTTAAAGCATTCCCCTCCAGGCTCCTTTTGCCAGCGGTAGCCAGTTTAAACTTTCATTCTTAGAAATTCCTGGACAGTACTGTGAGAGCTGACTGACAGTAAAGGCCTCGCTCTCTCTCTCTCTGTCCCAAATTTCAAAACAAGAGGCACAGCAGCATAAAGACATGACAGAGATAGTGCCAGGGCTGGCCGCTATTCATATGGTCTGTCCAATAAGCTCTCAATGCAGCTGTCAGGTTTATACAGCACGGGGAGCACGGGAGAGGGCACTCCCTGTACAGGGAACTGTCACTGACCTTCCACAATTCCGCAGATGAAAGGCAATGTCTTCTCCATACGGTTCCAGCCACTCTCAGCTTCCCAACCAGCTCTCACAGGAAAGGAAACGGAACGAGAGAGAGAGAGGGAGAGAGGTGGAGGTGAAGGAAGGAGAGAAAGGGAATGAGATAGGGAAGGAAGAAGAGACAGGAAGAGAGAGGTGGGGGAAAAGAGAAAGGGGGAGGAGAGGGAAACAGAGGGATGGGGCAGAGAGAGGGGAGGAGCTGATGGCACTTTATCTGCTCAAGATTTGCATGAGTCTTTGATTCCCTCTCTCAAGGATCGGACTCTCTCCCTCCCTCCCTCTCTCTCACTCACTGTATTTCACTGTCATTGTCTCTCTCTCTCTCCCTACGTCTATCCCCGTCTCCCACCCTCTCTCTATCTATCTCTCCCTTCCTCTGTCTATTTCTATCTCACTCCCACAGTCTATCACTCTGATCCCCTACATCTATATTCCCTGTATCTCTCTCTATATTTCTATTTCTGTATGTTTCACTCCCTCTCACTACTACTCCCTCTTTATTTCTGTCTCTCTTCCTCTATATCTATCTTTGTCTCTCTCCTTCCTTCTCCCTGTTGTTGTGTGTCTGTCTGCCTATCTATATCTCTGTCTCCCTCTCTATGACTGTCTGTCTTTGTCTCTCTCTCTGTCTCCCTCCCTCCCTGTCTGTGTATCTATCTATTTCTCTCTCCTTCCCTCCCTGTCTGTGTATCTATCTCTCTCTCTCTCCCTGTCTGTGTATCTATCTCTCTCTCTCTCCCTCCCTCCCTGTCTGTGTATCTATCTCTCTCTCCCT